AGTCTCCACCTCCTCTTCCAGCCAAGTCGAGGCCTGCTATGAACACGTGGAGGCCCCCCGCCAGACCAGCTCCGCCATCGAACGCCCAAGAGGGAGGGGACAAGGTCACTTGAGGGCGATGGTGATGGCGGCGCGGGTACGAAACGACGCGAGGCGGAGCGAGAGACACCGGGCTCCCAGAGAGCCTCCCCGTACCTCACCGAGCAGCTGGATCTGAAATGTCCTCAGAGGACACCTACGAGTCCTCCTTTAGTCTGGGACTCAAGGGCGTAGGTTTGTTCTCAGCATTCGTAGGGAAACTACGAGACCCCCACCATACAAAAAAAAATGTGATGTTGATATTAAGTATGGTAAACTTTAATAATATATGCTAACATGTGTAACTTGGCACGGAGTTTAATCTTAGTTTAAATAGGAAATGGTTTTCTACTTTAAATAAATAATAACGACTAATGAAATGATCAGAGCAGAATCAGAATCTCCCCGTCAATTCCAAAGTATGATTCATTGGCATCATCCGAGTTTCTCCCCATCTGGTTGTTTAAACCTTTCTCTAAACTGCAAATCCGAGGTGTCCGACAACTTCCCCAAACGGCCTTCAATTTCATTGTTAATGCTGGTGATACAAAAAAAGACTTGAGGCCCCGATGGTCCAGCTGCTGCTTCCTCAACCTGCACAACGTCTGCTTTGTGTCAGGGGGTGCGTGGGAGGCAGGACTCAAACGCAGAGTTCGAAAACAAAAGGACTTTAATAGTCAAAACAGGCAAAAAGCCAACGGGGGAAAAAGCGCAGGCAGGACGATTGACAGGGACATGCGTGGCAAAAGACAATGACGCGACAAGTGACAACAGACACAACATGGCTTAAATACACTAGGGAGGTGCAGGTGATTGGACACAGGTGGAAACAATCATGACATGACAGACAATCACAGAGGAGGACAGGACAAGGCAGGAAGTGACATGACCCAGGGAGAGGTAAGAAACTACAAAATAAAACCAGACATTAACCCAAACCGTGACACTTTGGATTTCTGAGTTTGCCGAATGCATTTCAAGATAATGCCTTAATTAACAAAATGACCTAATGAGAAGTACATGCAATGCATTTGTTTATTCTTAAAGATGTTTAATATGTTGGTTCATGTTTTATGGAGACTAGGCATAAATCATCTTTACTGGATTTCTGAGAAATTAAATAATTAATTTATGAATTATATAATGTATTAAATAACATTTGACACGTATGTTTCCATACGGGACTTTTTAAATGCAGAACTTTTACTAATAAGAGATTATTTTTGCATTGCATGCTGTGAACCCTTAGTTCCAGGAGCCGTTGTTGTTTTACCTCATTTAATTCTAGTTCTGTCCGTTTGAGGTGTGGACTTCATGACTGAATGTCCATGAACAACCAAAGAAAAAGCGTAAACACCTCGTTAAACATCACAGCTTTGCTACTATCATAAGATGAAATCATATCTCTTAATGTCTGCACCTCAAGTCGCTATTTTAAATAAGTTCAAAATGAGGAAGACTTTACTTGAGTGTCCTCAAGCATATATTTCACTCCATGTGTTAACGTGCTGGAATATCAAGCTACTTTACATATAAATGTGAAACTGATTAGACAATAGAATGTGAAATAGTGATTGATTATGAAACGCCATCTGCTCTGGTTTGTGTGGATACAAATGTTTCTTCTCTTCCCCACATTGTCATATCTGGGGCCGCCACCCGTCCCTTAAAATACGGAATCGTCCGGTATTTGATAATAAAATAAGGCGTCCAGTCCCGTATTTTCGGGATTTTGCCATCAAAGCCGCATCCTATTCGGCCCCGTATTGGTTAATACTCGCTGCCATCGTTGGTTTGATTGAGTGAACCTGAAATAAAACACCAGAGTCAGAGGAGGGCGGGACTGTTGACGGGAGGGTGGATTTGAAAGAATGGTGGGGGTAGCTGCACCGTAACACCCCCCACCGTGTCGGACGTAGCGTCCCTTACTTTTCTGTGCTAAAGGTGGCAACCCTATGTAACCACCGGCAAGTACGGAGGGGCGGGTATCGTCCCGTAGGGATATTTATTAATCGACCACGGACCCACAGATGACCAGTCTAAACAGACCAAGGCACAAATATTCCCCCAGAGAGTATACAATATTTATTTGAATTTCTTAAAATATCAAAAAGGTACGAAACAATTCATTTCAATAATTCCCGTCAGCTCTGGGAATGTCGTCAAAGAACAAAACAAGAACAACGGGTGTGTCGCTGAGTGGGGAGAAGCGGTGTGAAGCGGGAAAAGTGGTTGGTGGTGAACCGTGTGCTTCGAGACTCGAGCTTACTCCGGACAGTCAGCAGCCTCCCTGCTGGGGGGGTTGCCGGGGGACGGCTAGCAGGAGCTAACGACTGAGCTTCCATGGAGCCGTGCTTCTACCTCACTAGGCCTCGCCTCCGACATATCAAATATACTACATTACATGTACCACGCAAGGGAGGCAGAGGAATAGCTAAACATGTGACAGACCGAACGAGAGAGAGCAGGAGAGGGAGGGAAGACGTCACTAGGTTAGCTGCAAAGCTAATGTAGCTAATGCTAGTGGAACTAGCGTCGATGCTAAACAACGGCTAAGTAATTATTTGATTAAATGAAACGTTGCTAGAAGATGGACGGGTGTGCGTGTTAAACGACACGTCAGATAGATAACAGATAGTTTTCCGCTTGTACTGATAAATATTAGACACAATCTGTGAAAGTTTGATGGCAACAGGAAGTGAAGCAACACGCCTCACCGCATAGACGCTGCTTCTGATTCCTAATATGATAAATACTTTTACACTGTCACATTTCATGAGGCGAGTGCATCACTAAAGACTATTTCTATAACCAGAGTGTGAGCTAACGTGAGCCTGATCCCTGTCTTTCGAATTGATCCTAGCAAGATCAATAGCAGAAACTAAGCTTAGTATCGATACTTTTGGTATTGATCTGACCAAGTAGAGAGAAAAATGACATCCTCTTGACCATCATGTATCACTGTGAGGACTGCAGTTAGTGGACAGATGTGTTGTTGACTCCTCTGGGTCTACAGCTGTACCGTATGATCACATCGCCAGCAGATCCTTTTCCCATCGGCCTTGTAGCCACAATCTCATTACATAATCAATGTCTGTCAAATCAACATGTATAGCTATTATTTCTGATGAAAATGATGCTACATTGTTCGTACTAAATACATCGATTTAAATATGTATTTTCATGGCATATCAATCAAACTGCCTGAGTGGTACAAAGAAATTCTTGGCAAACAGCAGGATACAATTAGCTTACATTGATGATCACATGAGATGGACAAACTGTTTTAATGATACTGTTACAGGGTAAAGAATATCCAAATCTACTTGGCCCTGTGTGAAAAAGTAACTGCAATTGAACTCAGCTTTCAAAGGATTTGAAAGTTCACAGTTCACTCAAGACACCAGGAAGGGGGCAAATACTTTTTCACAGTTTTTAGGCCACTGGCTCATCGTTTAATAACTCGGTTGTGTCTGTCTGTCAAAACGGGTCTGCATGTCCTTCCAGGCTTAATAAATCCTAAAGAGACATCAGACCTCTTTTGTAGTAATAGTGACAATTGTTGCCTTTGCCCTCATCGCGGCCAAAAGGCTCCTTTCCACTGAATACAGTCTTCATCAGGTGAGTCACGTGACCTCAGCATTTTACTCGATGCTCTCAACTCTGAGCTTCCCTCAGGATGTGAAATAGAGCTGGCCTGCTATGAAAACGTGGAGGCGCCCCGCCAGACCAGCTGCGCCATCGAACGCCCAAGAGGGAGGGGACAAGGTCACTTGAGGCGATGGTGATGCGCGTGGGTACGAAACGACGCGAGGCGGAGCGAGAGACACCGGGCTCCCAGAGAGCCTCCTCGTACCTCACCGAGCAGCTGGATCTGAAATGTCCTCAGAGGACACCTACGAGTCCTCCTTTAGTCTGGGACTCAAGGGCGTAGGTTTGTTCTCAGCATTCGTAGAGAAACTACGAGACCCCCACCATACAAAAAAAAATGTGATGTTGATATTAAGTTAGGTAAACTTTAATAATATATGCTAACATGTGTAACTTGCCACGGAGTTTAATCTTAGTTTAAATAGGAAATGGTTTTCTACTTTAAATAAATAATAACGACTAATGAAATGATCAGAGCAGAATCAGAATCTCCCCGTCAATTCCAAAGTATGATTCAATGGCATCATCCGAGTTTCTCCCCATCTGGTTGTTTAAACCTTTCTCTAAACTGCAAATCCGAGGTGTCCGACAACTTCCCCAAACGGCCTTCAATTTCATTGTTAATGCTGGTGATACAAAAAAAGACTTGAGGCCCCGATGGTCCAGCTGCTGCTTCCTCAACCTGCACAACGTCTGCTTTGTGTCAGGGGGTGCGTGGGAGGCAGGACTCAAACTTTGCCAAAGTCACGGTTATGTTGACAAAAAGTATGATAGTAATGTAAGCGTCTATGGTTTAGTCTGTGAATTTGTATTATTTGTATTTTTAAGTATTTTGTCAGGCAAAAGTGTAGAGATGTGGATATGTTTGATTTCACTTCAATTGTAAATAAATTGTTGTTGCTTGAGAAGACGCTGACAGAAGAAGCCACACGTCTGCCTGTGTCATTCATTTTTTTATTTTTTCACATCTGATATTCATCTGTGGTCTCTGCATTTCCACATTTCTCTGCATGTTTCACACCTTTCACACCTAAAATCCAAAAGTCTGCATTAAAGTCAGTGTCGATGAAAAATGTCACGACCACCAGAACATACAAAAAATGATTAGTCATATTGCACTGGAGTTTATTAAGTGTCACTTCAAGTAGTTACAACATCTTAGTATCACAATGTTTATAATTGTATTTCAGTTTATCTGTGTGATTGCTGTTGTAAAGTTTTATTATAATATTATATATATCGTTCTCTCATTTATCATTCATCTGATCTGATGTTCATCTGTGGTCTCTGCATTTCCACTTTTCTCTGCATGTTTCACACCTTTCAAACTGTCTCTTGACACGAAGCGGAAGCGTTTCTCACAAGCGAGTGTCAGCGTGGACGTGAGGATGGGACACACCTTGTTTGGTGCGTTGGGGCTTTTCTGTGAGTACTTTCTCTGTTTAAATCATAGTTTTCATAGATACAACTTTTTAAATGCCAGAAGTTAATAGTTTCTGTCAGTTTGATGATGTTTCTCACTTTATTTTAGCGCTGAATATTCTCCTCTACTGTGGACACGCTCAAGGTTTCTATACAACTTTCTTTCTTTTGATACATTCACTCAAGACGACTCAACACCTTCTATCACTATTTTACATTTAATATTTCTGTTCTCTTTAAATAATTTATGATGAATACAAGACAGAAGACAAGGTTCATTCTTTGCATGTTGTGTTTGTTTCTAGATGCTTTGCTGCATATTGAGCCAAACTAGTCACTTTTATTTACTGGAGAGAAATTTACCTTCATATGTGACTCAAGGGAAGGAAACGACACTGACTGGAATTACTCATTCAGTAGTAACTGAATGAGTAATTGACAATTTATAAATTAGTTATTGATTAATTATTGATAATACAAATGGATCAAACACATCAGCAGAGTGTGGCACCTCCTTTGACATCTTCTGTCTGCAACTCTATGTTAAATTATAATTACGTAGGAAACATAAATCCCTGATATGTTCCAACCATCAACACACACATGAAATCACCATTTCTCTGATGTCTGATGGGAGCTCTTACAAGTGCAGATTTAAGGACAAAGAATCTGAAATAGAATATTTGAAATGTGAGATTAGTTACTATGTTTAAAGACATTGTACCCAAACACCTGTTTAACACATGAAGACAGATAAAAAGATGGAGGACATCAGCAGTGACAGTAATCCACCAAGGACTCATCATAACACGTCTTTATTCTGTCAAACCTCTTTCCAACAGATGTCCCTCAGCCTGTCCTCACAGTGTCTCCATCATGGACGAGTCCTGGAGACTCAGTGACTCTGACCTGCAGTGTTGAACCTCCGTCTGCAGGGTGGAGGTTCTTCTGGTATAAGGCTGTTCCAGACATGTCATCCACCTACAACTACTACACCTTTAAGCTTCTAGCTGGTGGCACCACTGGGACTGAACAGGATTCCTACATTCTTCATGGACAGACACACACAGCAGGATATAAGTGCAGAGCTGGAAGAGGAGATCCTGTGTCTTACACTCAGTATAGTGGTGTGAAGTTTGTCTGGTCTGGAGGTGAGTTTGTTCAGACTTTTATATTCTTGCACAAGGGAATAAATGTCCTTTTTGTGTTGACATTGTTTGTCCTGTGTGTCTCCTAATGATGTGTCTTCAGGTGTGAATCCAGCAGCGTCTCTCACAGTGAGTCCTCACAGACTGCAGCACTTCAGCACAGAGTCACTGTCACTGATCTGTGAGGGAAACTCTACTGAGTGGAGAGTGATGAAGGTTGATGAAGATGGCTACGTGTCATCATGTTCTTACTGGGGAGAAATGACTGGATCCACATGCAACACCACTAGAGCGAGTAGTGGAGTGTACTGGTGTGAGTCTGAAACACAGTTCAGCAATGCAGCCAACATCACTATACACAGTGAGTTTATATTCATTTAAAGGTTTTTATATCTAAAGTATTTACACGTCTTATTACAGAGTGATGACATTTTTAAGGTGACTTCATGATGAGTTTTACTCAATATTTATTTTAACAAACGTTTCAACAATCTTAGTTTGTAAATCCCTGATATCTTGTATCATTTAATTAAAATAATTTCCATCCATAAACTACTTATCCTGCACACAGGGGGGCTGGAGTCTGTCCCAGCCAACATTGGGCGACCAATCCAGGGTACACCCTAGATTGGTCGCCAGCTAATCGCAGCTAACACAGAGACACAACCATTCACACACATACAGGCAATTTAAAGTTACCGATCAACCTGATCCCTGAAGCATATCTTTGGACTGTAGGAGGAAGCTGGAATACATGGAGAGAACCCACGCAGGCACAACTCAATATTTATTTCAACAAATCATTCAACAATCTTAGTTTGTTGCAGTATCATTTCTCTGTATTATCCAACACGTCTTTGTGGTTTACTTTCCTCTTTATGACCATTGACATCCACCATTGACTTTAAACCAGGAGGAGCTGTAGAGTTATCTGCTCACTTTGTACCTTTTAGACCATTCTGTAGCTCACTGCCACTAAGTGGACATTTTTATCCCGACATATTGAGCATTAATTAAAGATGTAACTGTGAGCATGTACGTCACCAAAGGGCCCTCTCTTCCATCTGTTAGGGTTTCAGAAGCTCTCGAGGGAGGCCTCACTTCTTTGTTCTCGTCCCGGCCTGAAACGAGGATACGAATGAGTCAATTCGTTTCAATTCAAAAATCAAAAGTATTTAATAACGTTATAAGGGATACAATTACAAAGTGAAATACAAAGCGAACAGTGAAATATTTCGCGAAACAGAGAATTCTCTGAGCAAGTCTAAAGTGACTTATCAAAGCGGCTGCAGGAAAATGATAACAGTCTTTTCCCCGCTTTGGTCCTTTGAAAACTCTTGAGGTGTGTCTTCTTGGGTGCATTTGAATGTCATTGGCTTCTTCTTCTTCAGAGTGTCCCCTCCCGTATTGTCCCCTTCACGTCGAGGTGTGAAGCTGCACCTGTAACCTAAAACCTCTCTGTACTATCTGTCCCTCACATTCCAACGCATTCAATGTAGATACAGTTGGCTTTATGCCTCAATGAGTGAATATAACAAAGCATGCATAGTTTGTCTTCATCTTTTAACTAGTACACTTTAATTACAACACATCATAAATGATCCCCGTTCTTCACACTTCATCATAAGATCTAAGACAGTTCATTAGGTTTTAACATCACATTGTGTACAGTGTTTGTATGATTTAAATGACTATAAACTGTGTTTGATTCAAATTGTATTCACTTCATCTAACATGTTATTGTAATGCCTAATATCTAACATCACACAAACTATAATTCTAACACTAAACATTATTACACGTAATATAATTTCCACCACTAGGGGTGCACTTCTGGCTTAAATCCCTAACACATCCATGAAATGCAGCTATTCGCTCAGCTACTGTGTGAATGTGAATAACAAATGTAAACTATAAATGTCTTCTCCTCATTGTTCATCAGCTTGTTTGACTTCCTGTCCTCTGGTCTCTTTACAGGAGGTGATGTCATCCTGGTGAGTCCTGTCCGTCCTGTGACTGAGGGACATTCCGTCACTCTTGGCTGCAAGTTGAGGACAGAAAACCTTCTTTATAATGTGGATTTCTATAAAAATAACACACTCATCCCAAATCCTGCCAGAGGGGAGCTGCTTATCTCTGCAGTTACTAAGTCAGATGAAGGCTTTTATAAATGTAGAGGAAGGAAATCACCTCAAGGTTTGGAGACCTCAGCAGAGAGCTGGTTGTCAGTGAAATGTGAGTACGAGTTTTGTAACATGTGTTACAGTCTGAGTGAGAAAAGGTGTCACTGAATTAGAAGTTATCTTAAGATAAACTATTTGTTTGTGTGAGACAATATAGTTTTAAATATGTTCATGTTCAGTAAAAACACATAATATTAGAGATGTAACATGACCAGCAGTGAAAGCTGAATGTTGTGTGATCAAGGCTTCATGTTTGTGTATTTGAGTGTGTGTGTGTTGTAGTACTTGTTTAGCACTACAACACATTAGTACTTGTGTTTTTACTAGTTTTACTTTGTTTTAAGTATGTTTTTCTGGCTCTGTGACACTCTGAGATCTGTTGATGAAGTGTGTGTTATAAATAAACTGTATTATTATTGTTACTTGTGTATCTCTTCATGGTTGGTGTGTACTTGTGTGTAGATCCTGAAGAAGCAGCATCAAGCTCTGTGTTTCTCGTGCCGTTGGTTGTTGGTCTGGTTTCTGGAGTTTTACTGATTATTCTCCTGCTGCTGTTTCTGCGTCGCTACAGAAGTCAGAGGTGAAATCTTTTCCTTCTGATATCAGACTGATTTCACTGAATAGTCAAGTCACAGATATTAT